CCTGTTTTTATGTAATTTCCACTAAAAAATATAATCATATTTGGTGTACACCAAATTTGACAGTCATTCGTCATTTTTTTCTTTTTTAAAAAAATAGTTTTACCACCTACACATTTTTGAAATGTCTATAATGATGTAAGAGGGGAATGCACAAGTGACAAAATCCTAAAATATAAAGAAAAATTTTGAATTGCGTGTAATATTATTTTATTAAAAAATATATGATTGAAAATAAATAGAAAAATATATATTTTAAAAATAATGAGGACCAAACCAATGCTAAAATGTATATTGCTTGAAAAACGATTCGAAAATGATAAAAGATTCAAACCGATAGTAAAATATATATTAGGAAAAAAAAATCATTTATGAGAACTATTATTTGAAAATTCTTTTTTCCACACATTCATTTTCAATCACACGTTCATACAAAAAAATAATATATACATAAACCCAAAAAAATTTCCTACTCTTTAACCATACATTTTTTAAAAAAAAAAAAATCACTATTTAAAACTTCATTTTACTCAAATAATGGTTTGTCAAACAAGGGCAAAATTTTGAAGTGACAATTCTCGACTTGTTTTAATAATTTTATTTTTTTTTTGTTTTTTATTATAATTAACTTGAACGTCGGTCTTTTTCATCAACCTAATATTTGATACGATTTTCAAACCATTGCTTAGACCAATTCGGGAACTAAGTAAAATTGTTTTTCAAAAAACTTTTTAATTTCTAAATAGATGCATTAACAATTTTAAAAGTAAAATATTTTACGTATTTTGAACATAAAATTATGGTCAAAACAAATAACTTGTGCATATTTATTATTGAATTTCGTATTTTCAATCTTGTGTAGTAGAAAAATAATTTACTTTCCAACTTACTTATCTATTTATAAATAAAACATATGCTTCGTTAAAAATTGATTAAAAGTAAAAACTCAGCAGGAAGAAAAAAATGCAATTAATTGATCATGACTCATTAAAACTTTGTTAATAAAGTTTAGTGGGGCAAAATCTAGACGAATGAAAGTAATATAATTATTGCCACTGATGTTAATCAATAAAAATATTTGACTCGATGCATTCAAATTTCGTGTACTAATTTTTTTTAATATAGATATTGATAATCCTTTTTTGAAATTTTTTTAATTTTCACATTGTCGCTGGAGCAAACTTGTTAAACATCGATTTCATCGTTCTTTTGAAACTCATGTGTATACAAGAATATTGGAGAAAATGTGTTTTGTCATGTCCCATTTGATATAGCCTCCTCTGAATTGTGCAATATACAAAAATATTAGAGAAATGTGCTTTGTCAGGTTCCATTTGATTTAACATTTTCTAAGTTGTGCAATATGAGTTGCATTGTCTTCATACAATATTGTTAGACTATCTTCTGTTTAAGTTAGTTTGCTGGATATTTGGATACGATGGACCATATTCCTTAACCATACATATTCTGACTTAATTCATGGACTTTAATAATTTCCTAATGATTTGAGAATGTTGATGCCAAAGTTTTTCTATTTTCTATTTAGCTTTACATGTAGATAACCTACGTATCTCACTAAAGATCTCAAATTTTATGAATAAAACATGTCAATATTACTTCTTAGGTAACGAAAATCGTGTTTAACACTTCGATGTAATTGAGCTGTTGCGGAGCTATATTTACAAGGAAATTTACAGTAAAAACTTTGCTTGGTCAAGTACAATTTGCAAGATAATTAATGCTGAAATTGCACTAATATATGGGACTTTAGAATGAAGAGGCTTTTCTCCATCTTCAGCTAGGCAAAATAGATCACTTTTCACATCAAGTGATAGAACAACCATATATGATATATGATGTCAATTGATGTACTTTATCCATATAAGAGTGATTTAAGATTTGTTCTGTATATAAAAAATTGATGAACAAATAATCATTCTTAAAAATGTTCAATTTGCAAACCAAAATAAAATTTAACTTTTACCAATTCTTTTATCTCAAATTCAATTTTCAAATTATCTGCAGTTTTGTCAAGCTTTTTAAGAGTACTAATAAAATTAAAATCATCGGCCTAAACTGTCATAATTTCAAATTCAATATTTGTTTTTTTTATGAAAACACATGGACAAATATCGTCATTTTTATA